CTGTTGATCGTTGTACCTCCATAGTAGGAAGTTAACTGACCGCTTGCCCAACCTTCCTCTCTCCTCTCAGACCTGGTATCCGGGTCTGCCAGATGTAACCGTATTACCTAGAGAGAGACCCTCCCTTCACCTTTGTTACCTTATTTACTCGTCCTCAGACTTTTTCCCCCTCTTTTCAAACCGTCTTTTCGTATCCTTCGGGCCGTGGCACTCCATACTGCCTTCTTATTCCATCACCTTATCTGACCTATTTCCCCCCTGTGCCTCATTTAGTCAACTTCCTTGGGACTCTTGAAGCATAGAATCCAATCCCGTTGGGCCTAGACCATGACTGGTACCTCCGACCTTGTCTGTTGACGAGGATTCCTTTCCGGAATTGAATTATGCCAATCTTTCCACTGTATCCGGTCCTCACTCAATTCTGCAATCTTGCCCTTTAGCAGCCAGCTGTTATAGAACTTCGCCCTTTCCTTCTTCCGTTGATCTTCGTCCTCTGACCAGTCTTGTTTGATCTTTCGCCATCTGCACAGGATTTCCGCTTGAATCATCATTTTGGTTTCCAGCCATACCTTCTCCCTGTGGTTGACATGCCTTTCGATTGTCCTGCTGCATCTCTCCTTCCATATGACCCATAGGGTCACTTTCCTGATGAGTTCAAACCAGATTCTTTCCGTCCTCCGAGCCTGGATAGGGATGTTAGTCAAGAGGAGTAGTTGGAGGGGTTGTATGGGGAAGGAAGATGTGAAAAGGGAATTCCAGAGTGCGGAGGCTCTCTCCCAGTATTCCGTGACCTCCTTGCAGAGGACTAGACAGTGAACTACATCTTCAACAGCTCCCTCCGTGCAGACTGCACATAATTCTGAGCTGTCAGGATTTGTGGTCTTCCGTCTAGTGTGTAACCATTGGTTTACAGGTAGGGCAGCGTAAGCTATCAACCACTGCAAGCTTCTGATCTTGACCGGTCTAATTCGTTTGAATTTTTCCCAAGGAATTCTTTGGATCCTGTCAGCTTCTTGACCCACCAGTTTTTGCCACCTGTTTTTAATAATGGGGTCTGGGTTTTTTGTCTTCAATGAGAGTCTGTACCCTAGTTTGACGGTGTAGTCTTGAAWTGGGATTTTGGCCTTGAAGTTGCTGTTATTATTGGGTTTCCATGCCCACTCAGCGGGATCAAATTCTAAGGATCGGAGTGCAGTGCCAGGTCTGAAAATTGATTTTGGCCACGTGCCTAGGACCCTAACTTTCCTCAGAAGGAAGGATTCCAGTGTGGAGGATTCAACGTCATGGTTCAGGATGGAAGGCATGTCAGTGCTATTGTAGGAAATCGGGAAGGGTAGGAAGGATGCTCTGGTGGCAGAGCCTTGCTGTATATGGGAGAATTGGAAGGCTCTAGCGGGGTTAGAGTCTTGTATCATGAGGCCCAATTACCCTGGTCTCCACGGCTCATCTTTAATCAGGATGTCTTTCCACTCTTGTGGAATACGACTAATTATGTACTGGAGATTTGCTCCTCGTCTGTGGCATCCTTTCAATCTGGCGCTTGCTTCTTGTTCCGTTATCCATTCTTTCCTTTCCTCCTTCCATAGGTGGTCTATCTTCCAGATACCATTTTTGACCCAAGACAGCCATTTCTGCTCGAGGTAGATCGGATTGTCGGCCTCGTTTGTTACCCATTCATTCCCAAAAAGTGGTTGCCTTAACACTTCGTCCTTGGATTTTGGTCTGTTGGTCTTGTTAGGAATAATTTTCCTCCATGAGCGGAGCAGGGCTGGCCAGTAAGGGGTGGGGGGACGATAATCTTCTGGTCTGCTATTCCTCGTCCGGTTCCTCCGTCCCGTCGTTATCAACCACTCTTTGTTCATTACCCAGAATAACCCTGACATATCGTGTGGGGAGGAGGTGGGGGCCACCGATCTGATACTGTCTAAGGCCATTTTATTCCAGGCGCTGTCCGGGTGCATCAACAATTTGATGATCCATTTGATCTGTAAGGCCTTGGTTTCCGTTCGTGGGTCAATAATGCCTAGGCCCCCGTTACGTGGTCTCCTTGTGACATAATGCCAGGCTATCTTGGAAATGCAATTGTCTCTGTTGGGTTCGCCTGTCCACAGGTAACATCTGGCTCTGCGATTCAGTTCTTTAACTGAGTTGTCGGGGACTGTCCAAATGGAAGCTATGTACCACATCATTGAGAAGATTGAGGTGTTGAGGACTAACGCTCGGCCAATCAGGGATGTAAAAGCGTTGCCCCATCTCCCCATTTTATTAATCTGATTTGCCAACACGGCGGGGCCCATTTGTGGCGCCAGGCCATCTCTCGCCATTAGGATGCCTAGATAGCGAGTTGGGGATGCCTGTGTCTGCCATGTCATCGCCGCCTCCTCGCCTTGAAGTGAGAGGGGTTCTTCTTCGGAGAGCCACCAACCGATTGTCTTCCCCCAGTTGATTCTCATTTCTGATGCTAGTTTGAAGGCATCCATTGCCTTGACTAAAGTTCTGAAGGAGGAGTCTGAGGCCCTGATCAGGACTGTCAGATCGTCCGCAAACATAATAGTTGTGGGGAAATCCATCTGGTGGGCTGAGCCTACATCAGTACTGGCCAGTCTCTGTATCGATGGGTCTTTTCGCAGAAAGGAGGATTCCGCTGTACAGGGGGGAGGACGGATTGTTGGCTAGGTTAGTTTCAACAATTTTCAATGCGAATTCTAGTGCCTGCTTCCTCTGATTCCTTATCGAAGCCAATTTTTTGGAGACCTGCGCCACCGTGTCTGAGAGAGTGGAGTAACTTTTTTGAAACCACTCCCATCGGGGTTCAGTACTTAGACGCATAGATCGCAGACTCTCCCAGCAGCCGCACACTTCGCTTTGGAAGGATTGACTTAACAGGAGAGAGTTATTTAGCTTGTGGAAGCTAGCTCCCCTCGTAACCATTTGGTCAAAAAACCAGCTCCGTGGGAGTATTTTCGCTTCCTTGACTGACCCCATCAGAATTCTCGACACTAGAAAGTAGTCTATACGCGAGAAGGCTATATGATTAGCGTGGTTCTTCTTGATTAAAGTGAAGGTTCTTTTGTCTGGGTGAAGGGTCTTGAAGGGGTCTATCAGGTTGTGATCCAACATCATCTCCTGGATTGGTGTTGCTTCTGACCCATTTGGTGAGCTTGTGGAGCGAGATATACGGTCAATTGTTGGGTCTATCGTTGCATTCCAGTCGCCCACTATTATGCACGGGGTCAAAGGGGGGATAAGTTGACTTATATTCCTTTGCCAGGATTAAAGCTAACTCCAGAAACAACACAATAGAGGGTTTAAGATCTCTCACAACCCCAGAAAGTGTAAGATCAGACAGCGAAGGAATGCTGAAAATAACCAACAACTTCTATAAGGAGATATACCAATCGAGGACAGACCCTTTGATCCCCCCCAACGTTAGAGAAGCAAGGCAGAAAATGTTACAATATTTGGAACCAGAATTCTTTGGTTAGACCATCAATTCCTGGGGTCTTATTATTTTTCATCGAATGGATCGCTTGTAGGAGTCCTTCTGAGGTGATTGGTCTATCAAGAGCTTCGGCCTGTTTTGCTGATATGGTTGGTTCCAAATATTGTAACATTTTCTGCCTTGCTTCTCTAACGTTGGGGGGGATCAAAGGGTCTGTCCTCGATTGGTATATCTCCTTATAGAAGTTGTTGGTTATTTTCAGCATTCCTTCGATGTCTGATCTTACACTTTCTGGGGTTGTGAGAGATCTTAAACCCTCTATTGTGTTGTTTCTGGAGTTAGCTTTAATCCTGGCAAAGAAGTGTTTCGTCATTGAGTCGCTAAGTGGAAATGATCTTCTCAATTTCTACAATGACTGCTGGTCCAAGGGAGGGTTGGGTAACTTACTCAGCAGCAGTGTGGTCACGCTGCTCTACAAAAAAGNTGGGTAACTTACTCAGCAGCAGTGTGGTCACGCTGCTCTACAAAAAAGGCGAGAAAGATGACATTAAGAACTATAGACCTATCTCATTGCTGACTCTCCCATACAAGATTTTGGCCAAGACTCTGTCCAATCGGATCATCAAAATCACCAACAAATGTTTCCATATCGACCAAACAGGTTTCATTCCGGGTCGGTATATTCTGGATAATGTGATGACACTGAAAGAATCGGTAAGAAAAATCAAAGAAAGAAAGATAAACGTTGCCATCCTTTTCTTCGACTTCGAAAAAGCCTACGATCAGGTGAATTGGGACTTTATGGAAGCGAGCATGGAAAGGATGGGAGTAGGACCAAGCTTCAGGAAATGGGTTAGGATCCTATACAGGGACGCGGTAGGTTGCGTCCAAGTAAATGGACTCCTATCAGACTCCTATCCGAGTTCCCGCTCAGTCCGCTAAGGGGACCCACTGGCCCTTTCAATCTTTCTCTTTGTAATGGAGGCAAGTAAATGTTGATGAGCAGAAAGTCGTCTTCTCCCCACTTCAGGTGTAAGAGACACCACCTCCCTTCCCGCTGATCAGTTCTTTTATCTAGAACTGTACCCGATTTATAAAAGCGGGATAACTTGGGAATCAGGATGGTTGTTCCCTTGGTACTGGAGTCAGGATCACTCGCCCATATTTCATCCCTCAGACCACCGAGTTTTCTGGCAATAAAGGAGCGAATTTTGTTATGGTCCGCTGAAAGAGTAAGATGAGTTTCCTGGAGCATCACTATGTCCGCTGCCTTTTTGTTTTTCTGTGACAGTCCTGACCATAGGTCGTTCCATTTTCCCTCTCTTTCCATTATGTTCCCTAGCGCGTTGACATTCCAGCTCCTGAGGGTCAGACCTTGACTTCTCCAATTAATTTGGTTTCCCGTCTCATTCGCTCTTTTCCTAAGTTCTCCATGGGTACTGTTTGGGTGGATTAGAGAGTTACCTGCTTTACAGAGGTTCTAGGTTGTGGGGGGGGAGGAGGTATCCTTCGTCGTATCCTCCATTGTGCCTATTGGGGGGGTGGTCTGTCCACTGACCTCCCTGGGCCGGGTGTCAGCAACTCCCCCAGAAATCACTTTCTCTGAGCCTGTTCCCTCTGTCCCCTTAGACTCCATTTGGCCATTCTCTACATTGTCCAGGTCTTTCAGCTGATCCAACTTTTCTCTCTCATCATCCCCATCCCATGACTCGCCATCTGAAGCCTCACTCTTATAGAAAGTTTTGCTGTCCACAGCATAAGCTCTCGCGTCCAGGTCTTCGTTTCCTTCCAGCTGGCCTGATTCTACGATGTATGCGAGTGTTGAGGCCATCAATTCCGCCGACACCCCAATACCTGCGAGGATGCTGTATGGGACTTCAGTCACTGTTCGCCAGGGTCTCCATAGCATTCCAGATCCTAGCTGCGTAGACACTGGCATCTTAGCTATCAGGGGGGAGAAGGCTCTTGGGGAGTTCCTGCCTGAATCTCCCTTTCCATTGTGGCTGCTTCCTGCGCCCTCTTGAGTGCAGGACTCGTCCCGGTCTGTCTCGATGTCAATCGTCTCAAACAGTCCGAGTGGGGTTTCTTGAGAAACTTGTCTTTTGAGGGACTTGACCACGTTCTCCCCTTCCACAAAATGGGGAATATGGAACGCTATGTCAATTGCGATTTGCCACTCCTTCGCATTTGGCTCATATCTGGCTGCGATCAGAGGTCTGATGTTTCTCAGCGTCCTTCGGGCTGATTTGGCCGATTCCACCACCATTGGGGCTTTGCCATTAGCAATCTGTGCAATGGTTGTGAATTCAGGTGCATATTCCCTGTTCCACTTCTTCAGTTTTTCAGTTTGAGACAGCACCACTGCAGCTTCTTTTTCCAACAGGTCCCGTTCTGATTTCTCTTCCACCTCCATTTGATTGTTGCTGGCGTCCTTTCTTTTCTGATTTTTGCCTGTTTTTCTTGCCTTGGGACGCAGGTCCTGGAAGTTATCCTTGGTTGTGGGCATGGTCTTGTCTTTGTCTTCTATGCCTTGATCTCTTGCCCTCTTCTTTTCAGCGTATCTGAATGCTGCGTACTCTAAAAGTTCCTCCACTTTGGCTTCTTGAAGGATTGCGAATTGATTCGAAGAGCTGCTGTTTCCTGCGGTAGCATCCTTTTTGCCGTTCACCTGAGATCTCTCGGCATGTTTCAGGCATGCTACCCGGACATCAAATGCATGTTCCCTCTCCCTTTTTGCTTTTTCCACATACTGTCTGAGCCAAGATAAGGACCGCGTAGAGCGGTCCTCTTCCTCCGAGAAACCAGTATCTGGTTTGGCATTCTCCTTGTCTGCTTCATCGTCCGCCTGGTTGCCTGCAGAGTCAAGGTCCATTCCGTCCCCTGCTGGCCCAATTCCCATTGTGTTCATTCCCTTTGACTCTGTTGGTTCGTCAACTCTTCTTCTCTTCAATCCTGATTCTTTTTCTGCAGGTTTGCTCCCTTCCTGTAGTTGACGTTTGTTGTCCGCCTGAGTTTTGTCCCTTCTTTTGTATGTTTGAATTTCAGCTTGTTTCAGTGCTTCTCTGAACGAGTTTGGTTCTTTGCTGAATTCCTATTCGATCTGTTCTCTTTTTATATCCAAATCCCACAGAAGGTCTTCTCTTGCCTTTTCTTCCCTGATCACCCTTGAGTCAGTAATGGGCACAGTGGTAAACTTCACTGGGTTACCTTTCACTTTCCCTGTTGCCTTCTTTTGCCATCTACTGTCTGTCGAGGGAAAAATGTCTGGCTTTTTGGAGGATGGTGTTTGGTCTGCGAAGTGCCAGACCCAGTCTAGTTCATCAAGGTTGTCATAAAAAACCCAACCATCGTAAACTGAGTCTGCCACATACCAAATTCCCGGTGCATCTTCCACCTCAACCAGCATGTTGGGTAGAAGCTTTCTTTCCTTTGCTTGTTTGGGGTATTTGGGACAGTTGGGGTCTGCACCCAGGTGACCTCGTTCTCTGCAGCGAAAGCAGATTGGCGAGGTTCTTGTTGATATCCTTATCGCTGTCATGGATCCACAGTTGGGGTCTGCACCCATGTGGGGTAGAAGCTTTCTTTCGATCTGGAAGTTCCAGACCAGAGGGAAAACCGGGGGATCATCCGTTTGTACATCCAGTATCGCTGTCATGGATCCACAGTGAGGAGCCAGAAACTCCGGTGTGGGTAGGATCCATTTCAGGATTTTGTTTGCTGTTTACTGTTTCTCCAGTCTATCGACCAGCAGACCGTGGAATCCGGGATGGATGTTATCGAACTGTACCCAGTAGTTTTCTTTCAGCAACGTCTGTTTGTAAGAAACTGCGAGCCCCGGGGTTTGCCTTTGAGCTGAAAGTTTCTTCCATCTCGTTATTGTGCAGACTGAACCGTGACAATTCCTTGATTGCATTTCCGCAACAATCTTTGCATGTTCCTCATTCACGAAGAGTACCATTATGTTATTCCGACCCAGATTCTGCAGTGAGAATGTTTCCCCTATCTGTTTGAATCTCGGTTCTTTCTTGATCGTATCAATTACCCATTTCCTCTTCTCAGTGGGTTGGAGATCTGCTCCGTGACGTGCGAAATTGAATACCACTCCGTGTTTTTCATGGAGGTCGTCAAGTTCTGCAATTTTTTCTTCGGGGTATCTCCATATCACCACTTCCTCTTCCTTCCTGTCAATCAACTGTTTCTCTGTAGTTTCGATGCCTTGGACTTTCGTCTTTTCAATTAGAAATTTTAGCGCTTCGTTATCGATCACGTTGACTCTTTGATCAGTGAGTGATCCGGGCGACTTCGGACCGTCCATCTTTATTGGATTCTGTTCTTCTGCGTTGTATCCGTAGGTACCCCCAGTTGTTCCTATTGGCTGTCAATTAGTTCGTTCCAGCTGGGACGATTGGCGATGGGGGGGGGTGAGAGGGCGGGTAAGTAGGCGAGTGAGAAGTTTGACGGAAGGTTGAGTCCGACTAAGTGAGTCACAAGTGATGAAGATGCTGATAGGCAAGATATAGTAGTCAGGCGATGGGTGTAATGTGGGCTGAAGCAGGTGGGGGGGTGTTGATTGGTATAGAGAAAAGGAAGCGTTATGGAACCGTGAATCAAAGGGGTAAGACTGATAATCAGATGACTGGTGGGGGGGTACCGGGTGGATGGTTGTGGTTTTATGGAAAAAATTGGACAGCAATTCGCTTCCCCACTTGGGGATCGGCTTATCCAGCGGGGGTGAGAAAGGTGGTCGTTTGGATGCGTTGGGTGGACTGGGGGGGGGATAGAGAAAAGAAGCGAGTTTGTCCTTGGAAGTTGAGGTGGACTGGGATCAGGTGAGTGATCAAAGGGGTAAAGATCGCGTCTTGGTCAAGAAGGTTTGAGATTGTTGGAGAAAAGGGATCATATTGAGATTGGGCCGGGGAGAGTTGTAGGCGGTTAGGAATGAAGGTGAGTTGCGTTGGAGGCGAGTCGGAATCGGGGATGGCATGGAAGCGGGTGGGTTACGACTCCGATCAGGGATCGGGAGGGAGAGAGATCAAATCGGATGCGACGCCGAATGGGATTCGAACGAGACCGAGAGAGAGAGAAAAAAAAAAAAAAAAAAAGGGGGGGGGGGGGGGGGGGGGGGTCGGGATGGGATCGAAATTGGGAGTAAGAGCGGGGGTAAGGTTAATGAGGTCAGGAACAGGGAGTGGGAATAAGAGGCGGGGAGAGGATCGTGATTGGATCGGAGGTGAAGTTGAGAACAGGATGGGTGATAGTAGTTGAAGCAGTTTTGAGGATGGGATCGTGAGTGGGTTGTGGCGGGATCGAGGCGGGGGTGGATCGCAAATGGAGTGAGGGAAGGGTTCAAGATTGGGGTGGAGAGAAGGGGTGGAGACAAGATCGGGTTCGGGATGAGGGCGAGAGCGGGAATGGGGTGTTATGCGGACAGAACCGGGGTGGTAGGGGATCCGGGGTCAGGAGGGGGGAGGTAGGAACGGAGTGTTGTTGGCGTGAGGAATGAGTCGGGGTCGAAGTACGAGCGTGGACCGTGTCGAAGGGATGAACTATCGTTGGAGATGGTAGCGGTGCTCGGGATTAGGCTGGGGTCGGAGTAGGACTGATATCGGGGTTGGGAGTGGAGCAGGGATGAAATCGGCGTCGGGGTGGGCAAAGGATCGTTGTCGGGTTGGGAATGAAACCGAAGAAAGGGGGGGAGGGGTCTGGTTCGGGATGGGATCGAAATTGGGAGTAAGAGCGGGGATAAAGTTAAAAAGGTCAGGAACAGGGAGTGGGAATGCGAGGCAGGGAGGTCAGGAACAGGGAGTGGGAATGCGAGGCAGGGAGAGGATCGTGATTGGAACGGAAGTGAAGTTGAGAATAGGATGGGTGATAGTAGTTGAACCAGTTTGCGGATGGGATCGTGAGTAGGTTGTGGCGGGATCGAGGCGGGGGTGGCTTGCAAATGGAGTAAGGGAAGGGCTCAAGATTGGGGTGGAGAGAAGGGGTGGAGACAAGATCGGGTTCGGAATGAGGGCGAGAGCGGGAATGGGTTGTATGCGGACAGAACCGGGGTGGTAAGGGATCCGGGGTCAGGTGGGGGGAGGTAGGAATGGAGTGGTGTTGGCGTGAGGAATGAGTCGGGGTCGAAGTACGAGCGTGGACCATGTCGAAGGGATGAACTATAGTTGGAGATGGTAGCGGGGTCCGAGTGGAGATGACGCTGGGGTTAGGATGAGGGTGAGGTCGCGGTCGATGTGGGGAAGGGAGGGAGTCGGGTTTGGGGTCGAGATGGAGTTGGGGTGAGATTGGAGGCGAGATAAGTCACGAGATTGGGTTATAATGGGGAACTGCGTTATAGTGGTGTTGGGAGAGAAATGAAGGATGGGGGGTGGTCGGAAAGTTGATGGGGGAGGGAGATTGGAGCGTTTAGTCGAGGGCGAAATGACAATTGTAGGTTAGTAGGGGGGGATAGCCTCGAAGAGGGTACGGGGGAGTGAGGTCGACTGATTGGTCTCACTGATTGTGTATTAATGGGAGTCCTCGCTGGCCGTAGATCTCAGAAATCTCCGCGGTATGTTGTACTCTGTAGTCAGAGCTCAGGTGAATCTTTCTCCGCCATCTTCGCCCGTAGTGCCGTTGGCGTCGCGGGAGGAAGGCGCCACTTCTGAGCGCGCGCCCAAGGCGCGCGCGTGTGGTGATGCTCGTCTAACCACACTTGGCTATAGTTGTTCGGTCACGCTCGTGAAGCCTCTTGAGAGGGAAGCGATGAACTCTGAGCTCGCGCTCGAGGCGCGCGCACGTTGTGACGTTCGTCTAGGCTCAGTTGGCTATGGCTGCCCGGTGAGAGATCGCGATGGAGGATCCCGCGGACAGCTCGGCATCGAGTTCCTAGTGGCTCCGGGTAGGGGCACAGGTCTGGCGTAGCGCTGCGCTCAGCAGTGTACATTCTGATACATACAAAATGGTACTTTATAGCGCAGGGAAGACTTAGATACAAGTCTTGACCTGACCGAGACTGACCTCTATCACGTAGTGCAAGATAGCGTAGCAGAATACTAGAATATCAATGACTAGCCCAATCAATGTTGCAACGCAGACAAAACATACATCATTCTCATCACAAGGTGTGAGGAGACCTGGCGCTATACATAGGAAGAAGGCGCCAGGCCCTGATCATGCACAGACGAAGAGGAGAGGGACAAACGAAGAAGAGGGGGAGAGATGGGAATGTAGTCAACACCAAGTCTTTGTCACAAGTCCCAAATAATCCCTCGTCAAAATGTCAGAAGCCCAAATGTCGAGTCTGGATCCAAATGTCACCAAGCTCTCTCTTTCTCTCGTAGTCTGCTGATGCAGTGAAGTCAGGTAGCGAGAGGGTGAGAGGGAGATGGTGGACTGAGAAGAGGAAGAAGAAGAACTCTCTCTCTCTCTCATATGCCGGGTACTAACCTGTGAAGATGGCGCTGTCGGCGCGAATACCCTGACAAGGGTATCCACCCTTGCCTTTGCAAGTGACCGGAAGTACGGGTAGAGGTCTAAAGTGTACCGCGCGAGACGCGGCTCCGTCTGTTTGGTTACATAGGTAAGTTGCTTGGTTAGAGTGGAGCGGGTGTGGGCGCGCGGGATTAAGGCGCGCGTGTGATTTTTCTACTTTGGATTATGCAACCGGCATAGTTGGCCGGCCTGACTCTGGCTACTAGGAATAAGAGGTGCCCTTGGTAGACCGTTGGTAGTCTAACGTGCGGAGTAGGGTGCGGGGCGGCCACGGCGCAAGGCGGGCAAGCCGGCGTAGGAGCCTGGCGGTAGCGTGCCTAATGGGAGGCAGGAATGAGGCCTGGGGGCTGCGCCGCACTTGTTCATATGGAATACCGCGCTGACCAGTACCAGGCTTGGGCTTAGCCCTGTAGGTTACAATGCCGGACTATTACAGCGAAGATATGGGGATCGAGGCCAACGGGCGGCAGTGCAGGAGCATTCGAGCGTTGAAGAGCTGAGGGGTTG